GATTCCATCAGGGCCAATGGATTTGGAGGATTTTGCTTTGTGGATGACACCCTGAACCTCCTCATCGGTGAAAGTAAGTGGCGCGCTGTCGTTTGGCATTTTGCGCAGCCGTCGGTTAACACATCGTTTAGCTTTGTCTGCCGGAGGGTGCAGTGTGAACTGCCGGCTAAAATAGCTCGCGCACTTCTTCGGGTCCGAAGAGGCGTGACCATTGAATTGAACTTCAACTCGGTCGTCGTGCCTTTTCGGGTTAGACAAAGCTTTGACAGTAGCCCAAAGCTTACTCACACCGGTGGAGAGGTTGCAGGACTTCAGGTGCTCTATCTACATTGATAGAATAGTGCCTCTAGCGAAAAAAGTGGTCGACCAAAATAGTACATATTTGCTTATTTATATATTGGTATAAATTTAAAAAATAAGTTGAAGTTTAATTAGAAATACGAAAAGACTTTTTCGACTACCCAACGTCTACCACCTATAAAAGATAAAGAGAAATTCGGTATGTCCGAAACGGCTACCTTAGGATGGTCGAAGGAGTGTTCCTGTAAGGTTTAGTGGCGGTCGCATTTTTTTGAATTAAGAATTTTAAATACACGTTCGGTAGTATTTACTTCCCCTTGCCCCGCGCAAACTATATTTCTAACTCGACACTTTTGTTTTCAACAATTAGAACGAAGCAGTTGAATGATTGTAGGCAAGGACGAGCATGGGGAAGAAATTCCACATAATTAGTTTAGTGATTTTGTTTATTAATCGTTTTTATTCAAAAACCAAAAAAAAAAAATCGTAAATATTATTATATTACGTAAATAAGTTCTAAACTGTTAGTATTTCACAATAGAAAACTAACAGTTAAAAACGTTAAAAAAAGAACGACAACTTTTCCGACAGACATATTGACGCTGAATTGGGCGCATCGCCACGAAGCTGACAAAAGTTCTATGAATCAACATTTTTGCAGTGCTTTATTATTGAAAACTGTATATTGGCCACACGTTTTTTTTTTTTTTAAATGTCTCCAGTGATGCCTGCCAGATATGATTCCGATCGGGAATCTGTGGAGAATTCTTTCAGGCAAAATGACAGCCTTAAGCAACTAAAACAACAATTTTGGACAGAAGGAACAAAATTCATATATCCGTGCTAAAAAAAACAAAAAACGGTGGAGTGTCAATGCCTCATCGTGTCCAAATGGTGAAAGTATATAAGGGTTTGTAAAGGATTGTATTCAAAAATAAAACCCCATTTGATTTATAAAGAAAAATATTTGCATCTGTATTGAAATAATTTTTTGCACATATAAATGTTTTAATTAATAATGTTGTTTAATATTTAGTTAAATGTTGTGTTAATTATAATCCAAAAGAAATTTTTTTAATTATTTGACACAGTACATTAAACAAAACAATTACGAACTAACAAATATTGCTTAGTTATTACCAAAATATTTCTTAACATAAGCCTATTAAAAGAAAATTGACTATCTGTTTTTATACTCTTGCAGCATTCTAAAACTAAACGAGATAAATATAGGGTTATATATATCAATGATCATGATGAAGGCACATGTTAAAATCCTGGACACTGTCTGTATGTCCGTAGGCCCCGTAAGCTGTAACTTGAGTAAAAAATAGAGATACCTTAATGAAACTTAGTATAATCCGACTACTTCCACGCTCCCAAAACGACCTTAACCGGAAACTTATAAAGTGCCAAAATTAACACTAAATTAAGATAGTTATAGATCTCCATGTATGTACATCTAATTTACACATATCTGGAGACCCTAAACTAAATTCGGTATATGCCATTCCTCGGATACTCCAAGCGGCACAACGATTACAGTAGCTGACATGGTGCGTCAAAAAGAGGCCAAACTTACGCAAAATGATGCGATGTGACGTCAGCGTTTAGATGAGCTGGAACAGACACTCAAGAAAACGAACACAATCATGGAAAAAGAATACTCCTCAGCACTTGAGGATGTTCGTCAGCGCTTTGCTACAGCTTCGCCCGTACACCAATTACCACCATGTCACGATCTCAAGGCACAAGTCATCGCTTGCTATCGCGCAAATCCTGGTCAAACCTTAAAGTGTTCCGAAGAAGTTGCAGCTTTCACAGAATACATTAACTTAAATCGTATCAAGAAACTTGACGCTGAGGATGCAAAACCAATTGCTGAAGCAACTTAAATGTGCGCCGTTTGGTGGTTAAACGAAAAATGTGCTGTAACGATATCACTGTGCTTCCCGGTTTTTTGAAATTAAATTTTCAGTAAAATAAGTTTAAAGGTATAAAGTAAATGAGTGTTAAACTTCTGCTGAACATAATGTATCGCTTATGAAGTCCGAAAGTAAATTAAATTATAATTTCTAGGCTGATATTGTTGGTGGTGTTTACGCTGGTTCCAAGATAGAYGAAATTATCTACATCTTCAAAGCGATGACTGTCAACAGTGACGTGAGTGCCAAGTCGCGAGTGCGACGACTGTTTRTTTGATGACAGGAGATATTTCGTCTTGCCCTCGTTCACTGCCAGACCCATTTGTGTTGCTTCCTTGTCCAGTCTGGAGAAAACAGAACTAACGGCGCGGGTGTTGAGACCGATGATATCAATATTATCGGCATACGCCAGCAGCTGTACACTCTTATAGAAGATGGTATCTTCTCTATTTAGTTCTGCTGCGGTCCAAGAAACCAAGCTAAACAGCCGCTCAGATCTTCTGAGTTGTGCCGATTTCAACGTCATACGTAAAGATCGCGAGCGAGATAATGGTGGTGGCCTAGCCTTCATATTGCACAACACCGTGCAGTATCGTCTAATCGATGAAGACAATGACCGCAGGGATACTACCCTAGAATGTCAGGGCATAGATATCCGGTCAGGCGATGTCGAGCTCGAAATATTTAATATATACATCCCCCAGTTACATGTTGCCCTACAGGATATTACCCGAATATAGGTGCGCTTCTTCGTGGTGAAAACCGTTTGGTGCTAGG